CATGTCCTGGCCGCTGGCCGCGTGGGAGCAATCACGCGGGGGGGCGGGGGGGGCCGCCTGGCTGTGAGCTCACCCTCTGCCGCTGGGACCGCTCTGGCACAGCTGCCAGCACTGCTCTCCCGGGCCTCGCCCAGCGCAGGTTCGGTCTCTCACCCGGGGCCGCGCCAGCCTGGCTGGGTCTCCGCAGCGACGCGGGGCTGCGAGGGGCCCCCTGGGTGCTGGGCCGGCATCGGAGAGCCCGGCCCGTCTGTCCGGGCCGGCTCCGACGGCTCCCACCGCCTCCACGCCAGCCCCCGCTGCCTGGGTCTGCACCCTCCAAGCGGCACTGTCCCGCCTGCTCCCTGGACAGCTGTCTGCCGGCTGGGCTGTCCTCCCTCCCCGGCCCCCAGCACACCCAGAACCTTCTACCACCTGGGATGCCCAGAACCACCGGCAGCTGCTGACAGTGCAGGAGCCTCGCCATCTCCCTGCCCAGCCCGACCTGGGCTCAGCTGTGCCCCACCCCCACCCCAGGCTCCCAGCCCCAGCCTCCCCTGCCCCAGCCTCACTGCCCCAGCCTCCCCCACCCCAGCCTCCCCTGCCCCAGCCCCCCCTGCCCGAGCTCCCCCTTCCCCAGCCTCCCCTGCCCCAGCCTCCCCGCCCCAGCCTCCCCCACCCCGGCCTCCACTGCTTCACCAGCAGCTGCCGCCTGGACACTTGTCCCGTGGTCGCGGCTTGAGCCCCAGAGGAGGCCACCAGCCTCGGCCCCCACCTCCGCCGGAGCAGCCCCCAGACAGAAAGGCAGGGGGAGGGCCAGGCACAGCCCCGAAGGGAGCTGCTGGGAGGACAGGGAGCAGCCGTGCAAAGGCCCTGAGGTGAGGGTTCTGGGGGACAGCGGGTTGTAGGGGGGGCAGCCCCCGGCTGGGATTCCCCGCGGCCGCTCCTGCAGTGGGGCGGGGGGGGGGGGGGGGCATCCGGCAGCGGCCTGGCAGCGCGCCCTGAAACCCGCCCGTGTTTTGGTTTTGGTTTGTGTTTTTCTTTTTAAGGAAAAACAGCTGCCAAGCCGAGAGAGAATACGTTTTCAAGAAACTCCTGAGACCACAGGCGGCCGGTCCCCAGGGCCCCGCCGCAGGCTGGCCGGCTGAGCAGCTGCCGGGTCAGCACAGGGGACAGCTCAGGCTGCGCAGCCTGGACCCCGTGTGCCCAGGGCACCTCCCTCCTGCGGGCGAGGGCCTCACACGCTCCCTCAGTGTGTCTCCCTCGGTGACCCACTCGCCCTCCGGAGCCCGGCTCACCGGCCACGGCGTCCCCGGGCATGGGCCGGCCCCGTGCCCCGGGCGCCCAGCACCGTCCTCTGCGCCGTGACCTTGTGCAGCAGTGACAGCAGGTCCCCACGCACAGAGCCTCCGACTGTGCCGGGCCCACTGTCTCCTAGAGCCTTCCATGAGCATCATGGGTGATGCTGACCCATTTCACAGATGAGGAAACTGAGGCACCACCTGCGGCAGCACTCGCCTGGGCCGGGCGCCCTGACGTCAGCCTGTGAGCTCTTGCCTCTCCCGGAGACCTGGGTCCAGCTGGAAAGGGGAGAGGCAGTGGGGTTTGGCGGAGGGTGCCGGCCGGAGCCGAGGGGGGACCACAGGCTGGGCTCTGACGTCCATGTGGCCCGGGGAGGGCTGGGATGGAATGGCAGCCCCCTGTTTTGCACCCCACCCCAGTGCAGGACGGCAGGGCTTCACGTGGTTCCCCCATCAGAGTGAGAGGGGGTCCTTGGGGGTCTGGGGGGAGGCAGCAGGAGGCCCAGTCTGCGGTGGCCAAGGGCACGGCAGGGGAGGGAGACACGGGGAGGGCCGCAGAGAAGGGCCCTGAGTGCCCTCCCTGGACGGGCAGCACTGCAAGGCGGCACCTGGTGGGGGGGGGGGTCCCACTCGGAGGGACAGCCCTGACCTCTCGGAGCGGCTTCCCTGCTCGGCCCGGCTGGCGGGACAAGGGAGCCGGGGTGCTGGCTGCGTGGCACGCCCTGGACACTCACCCCGGCCAGCCTGATGCTCACACCGCTCACCCTCCCTCTGAGCGCCCCCTAGCCCTGCGGTGGTGGCACCGGGGGTAAAACCGGCCCATAGGGTACAGGGTGCCCACAGCCGAGGGACGGGAGACAGCTGAGCCACTGCCTGCCTCCGTCTCTTTATCTGAAAGGGGTGGGGTCACCGGCCCCCAGCTGGGCCCTCAGGTCACACAGGAGGGAGCTGGCTGGGCTGCCACCCCCAGACAGGGCTTAACCATGAACGTCATCCCCCCTCACTGGCCCCCACCCAGAGGCTGGACTCCAGGACCAGGTGTGGGCAGGGCGGGGCCTCCTAGGGCCTCCCCTTGGCGTGTGGACGGCCGTCTGCTCCCCGTGTCCCCCAGGGTGGACCCGTGCGTGTCTGTCCTCACCTCTCCATGAGGCGCCCGTCAGTGGGGTCAGGGCCACCCGTGGCCACATTTCGGCTCATCCCCTGTAAGACCCGCCTCCGAGGACAGCTGCCCCCTGAGGTGCTGGCTCAGGCTGGGACACAGGGATGTGGGGACACAGCCCCAGCTCAGCCCAGCCCCCCGCCTGGATGTGCTCTCAGAGGCGCCCGGCCGACCCCGAGGCTCCGGGACAGCGGCCGCGGCTCCCTCTGTCCGGAGGCGGGACCCAGGGTGCTGATGAGCAAAACAGGCCGGACACGAGATTTGTTTGAAACCAAGGAAACGGCGGCCAGGCATGCTCCATCCAGGCCGATGGCTCCCGGGAGACACCGGCACTGACGCTAGCGGCCCGAGCTGCGTGCTGGCTGAGGACGCACCGGCCCGGAGCGTCGGGGTCCGCGAGTAGCTTCAGGTCAGCCCGGCCCGGCCTGGCCCAGCCCAGCTCAGCTGCCTCCTGGCCATCTCGTCTGGCCGCTGAGCCTCCCAGGGTCCGATTCCCCGAGGATAAAGCAGGCCCACAGCACAGCTCTCCTCACACAGCGGCCGAGGGTCCGGGAGAAGGAGAGAGCTCCCCGCGTCAGGAAGTGCTCATTAAAGCAGCCACTCAGCCTGGCCGGGCAGGACACTGGTTAGAGCGCCACCCCCACGCCCAGGCTGTGGGTTCGATCTCAGGTCAGGGCACACATAGGAATCACCAAAGGGTGCATAAGAGGGACAACAAATCGATCTCTCTCCCTCCCTCTGTCTATCCCCTCCTCTCCCCCGCCCCCCATTCTTTCTCCCTTTTTCTCCCTAAAATAAACAGGTCTGTGTGTGCACGCCCCTTTTCTAGGCATGAAAACTGAGGCTTCAGAAGGCAACTTACTAGCCAGATAATTGCCAGAACCAGAAACCTGGTCGTTACAAACAGACGGTTTAAAATAAAAACAGAGAAAAAAATAATAATAAAAATAATAAAAACAGAACACCCTGCCCAGGCTTGGGGCTCTCCAGCTACCTGCGCCCCCTGGGCAGGGGCCACCTGTGCCTGCTGGGCTCCCGGGCACAGTCGGAAGGGCACTGGGGCTGCTGCTGAGGACACCCCCGCCTTCCACTGGCCAAAGGAAATGCAGACCGACCGGTGAGAACCAGCACGGCCGCCAGGCCCCCATCCGGCTTGTACACACGGTGCGTGGTGGGGAGTGCTCCCCGCCTCCTCCATCGGCCTCACTGATTGGACAGGCAACAACAAACAGACCGGGGCTGCGCCGAGGGCACGGGCACACATACATGCACACGCACACATACGCACATGTGTCAAAGGGTTTGCTGAGCAAAGCTCTCCGGGGCCAAGTGGGAACGACCGAGCAACGGCATGCAGCCGGCAGGCCGGGCTGGACACCAGACACGCGTGACCAGGAACTGTGTTCTTTGGGGCCATGTCCTGGGGGACACTGCCAGCTCCCCACCAAGAAGCAGAAAACCGATCTCCTTCCCTTAAAAATCAGGAACAGCCGAAACCGGTTTGGCTCAGTGGATAGAGCGTCGGCCTGTGGACTGAAGGGTCCCGGGTTCGATTCCGGTCAAGGGCATGTACCTTGGTTGCGGGCACATCCCCAGTGAGAGGTGTGCAGGAGGCCACTGGTCAATGTTTCTCTCTCATCGATATTTCTGACTCTCTATCTCTCTCTCTTCCTCTCTGTAAAAAATCAATAAAATAAAATAAAAAAAAGAACCAGGAACGGTGCCGTGCTGTGGTCCGCAGCTCAGACAGTCCTCACCAATTGATCCCGTGGGAAGGCAACAGCAGAGCATCACAGCACAGCGGCCAGCTGGCGAGGCAGCGGCAGCCCCGGCCGGCATGGGCCCCGGCCGGCATGGGCCCCGGCTGGTGTGGGCCCCGGCCGGCGTGGGCCCCAACTGGCGTGGGCCCTGGCTGGCATGGGCCCCGGCCGGCGTGGGCCCCGGCGCCCGGAAAGCCCAGGGGGAGCGGCGGCCTTGGTCCATGCAGGGAGATGTGGGATCCCTTTTCACGTCCCGGGGGGTTCAGGGTTCCGGTTCAGGGTCCGGGTTCTGGAGAAGGCCCCGCACGAATGAAAAAAGTCTAGAAGGCATTCATTTGGGAAATGGGGGCCAGGCGGGAGCCCAAGAGAGGACTAGTCCCCGCTCCGGCCTTGCCGTCCCTTTTATTGAGACGATGGGATACTCCCTGTCCCCCGGCAGGAGACTCCAATAACAGCCCGTCAGGCCACCAGGTGGAGGCGCTTCTGCTGCCCGTGTCTCCGCCAGAGGGTGATGGGCCCTGCCTTTCGGAGCCGTCACGCTGACCAGCCTCCGGGGTCCCGTCCGCACCCTCTGCCCGTGAGACAGCGACCGGCTTCCGGAGGGTTCTCCTGTCCAAGTCCACGGCCCATCGTCCGGTAGGCGCCATCACACAGGCTGTTCCCACAGCAAATGCCCCCGGACCCCGGGCTGCCCCTGCCCTGGGACTCCGGGGCCCAGCGGGAGGGCAGGCCCCTCGGCCACGGTCACCAGCGGGCGGCGCAGAGGCTTCGCGCTGGCTTCATGGCGGGCAGGAGCGGCCGCGGCTACAGCTTCGAGCTCGCAACCCCCGCGGCGGGCTTGCTGGCGGCGAACTCGGGCCACCAGGACGGCCGCTCCAGCACGCGGGGCTGCTGCAGGACGGCGCCCCACAGGTTTCTGTAGAGCTGCGGAAGGACAGGCCGCGCTGAGGCCGCCGCCGGCGCCGGCTGCCCCGGACGCTCTCCTCCCCGGAGCTCACATCTAACGACACCCACCCTTCCCGAGTGGGAAGCAAGGGGACGTGCAATCTGAAGGCCTGCTGGCAGGAGCATCCGCTGGCCTTGGCTTTGGGGATTCTCGCCGAGGACAGACCCTGTGTCCAGTTGGTGGGCCCACAAGGGGAGGGAGGGGGGTCTGCGCTCCGGGTTCTCGCTGAATCCCTCCCTGGCACCGCGCGGCCGCCGCGCTGGAGGCGCAGCCTCGCAGCAGAAGGACGGCCGTGGGGCGGGCCTCACCCTGTGGTCCCGCCCGGCCCCCTGGGCGGGCAGGCCTGGCACTCACTGTCCCTCCGCCTGCCCAGTCTCCTCCAGGACTTTCCAAACAGGCGGCTCCCAGCAGAGTGGCCCCAGGGGAGAGAGCAGCCAGCAGCGAGGAGGGAGCCACAGGGGCCACGGGAGCCACAGGGGGAGAGAGCAGCCAGCAGCGAGGAGGGGGCCACAGGGGCCACGGGAGCCACAGGGGGAGAGAGCAGCCAGCAGCGAGGAGGGGGCCGCGGGAGCCACGGGGCCACAGGAGTCACAGGGGGAGAGAGCAGCCAGCAGCGAGGAGGGGGCCGCGGGAGCCACAGGGGCCACAGGGGGAGAGAGCAGCCAGCAGCGAGGAGGGGGCCGCGGGAGCCGCGGGAGCCACGGGGCCACGGGAGCCACAGGGGGGAGCAGCCAGCAGCGAGGAGGGAGCCACAGGGGCCACGGGAGCCACAGGGGGAGAGAGCAGCCAGCAGCGAGGAGGGGGCCGCGGGAGCCACAGGAGCCACGGGAGCCACGGGGGGAGAGAGCAGCCAGCAGCGAGGAGGGGGCCGCGGGAGCCACGGGGCCACAGGAGTCACAGGGGGAGAGAGCAGCCAGCAGCGAGGAGGGGGCCGCAGGAGCCACAGGGGCCACAGGGGGAGAGAGCAGCCAGCAGCGAGGAGGGGGCTGCGGGAGCCACAGGGGCCACAGGGGGAGAGAGCAGCCAGCAGCGAGGAGGGGGCTGCGGGAGCCACAGGGGCCACGGGAGCCACACCGCTGAGGGCAGAGGGCCGAGTCTCCCCGCTCCAGCTCAGCCAGCGCCCAGGGCCGGAGCGGGCGGCGGGCGGGGAAGGAAGGGCCCGCTTTGTGTGACGGGCGGGACCCCGTTAGCTAAGGGCCCTCCCGCCCTGCTGGTGCGCCCGGAATGCTCCGCAGCGCCCGCTCCTCGGGGGTGAGCGTCCCAGACCGTCCCCCACGGCCGCGCTGGCTGGAAACGGGCTTCTCGCCGGCAGCGCCCGGTTCAGGCGTTAGTGTGGAGCCGGGAGGAGTGAGGGCGGAGGAGACTGCCCTGCCTGTGGCTGTGGGTCCGGAGCCCAGCGTGGGCATCCACGCTGGCAGCTGTGGGACCTCAGGCACGGCCCCCGGCCACCAGGGACCACGCTGTGGCGAGTGCGGCTCAGGAGGCGCCGAGCAGAGGAGTCACGTGGGGACACGTGGGGACACAGGAGTCAGAAATGAGCACTTTGAGGTCACACGTAGGGCAGAGTGGGCGGAGCCTGGGCACCTCCCCAGAGGCCAGCAAAGAGCTCGCTGAGAGGCAGCCGTGTGCTTCGCCCTGAGTGAAGGGCGGGGCCCCGGCAGCGGGACAGCGGGTGCCAAGGTCCTGCGTGGGACAGCCAGCAGCCCGGCGAGCAGAGGCCGCCAGCTGGAAGCCGGACGGCAGAGGAGCAGGGCGCTCGGAGACCTGGAGGACCAGCTGCGGGGTGAGGGCGGGGGGAGGGCTTGGCCAGAGGGGTGGCTGAGGACACCTGCTTTTTAAGAAATCATTGGGGCGGGGCCAGGGAGGAGATTAGGGGCACGCAGCGGCCTCAGGGAAGCAGGCTGCAGAGGTGAGGGCCCGGCTGCTGGGGAGCCAGCCCTGAGATGGGGGGAGCCAGGCCGGGAGGGGGCCGTGGGCCAGCGGGAGGGCGGGAGGTGCTGCAGGCCCGGTCCCATCACAGCCCACGAGGCCACGTCGCCCCGTTTCTCAGAGGAAGGCTCTGGGGTGAGACGCTCAGACTCCTCCTGCACGGTGAGTGTGACAGCCCCCCGCAGGCGCCCGGAGCCCCAGCAGGCGGTCACCCAGGCCCCAGAGCGGCCGGGACACCCGGCGCCCCACGGCACGGCGGCCTTACCTGGCCGTCGGCTCTGCCGATCGGGGAGTCCAGCACGAAGTCGGGAGGCGCGAGCACGTCCACCAGCGCGACTGCGTCGTCCTTCAGCTGCCGGGAAACACAGGCACGCGCTGGGCACGGCCCCGCGTCTCCACGGCGACGCGGGGGAACAGAGCCCCGAGTTTGTTGCTCGACCACTAGCAACGGGAACCCTAGCAGAGGCCGAATCCCGGGGCCTCCCCCGCCGGCCGGCGCCGGGCCTCTGAGTGCTCCGCCAGGCAGCTCCACGCACGCCTCCAACCCTTTGTGTCTCGTCACCGGGGAGGGCCCCTCGTAAAGGGGATGGCGCCTCCGGCCCCCCACCCCCCGGGCAGCGGCGGTTCCAGGCCGGGACAGCCGCCGGAGCCGCCGGGAGAGGCGCACCCTGCACCTGTGGGCGCACCGGCGGGCGTCTGCCCTGCACATGCGTTAGCCGTCAGGATGGAATTTACAGAAGACGCCAAGAATGTTCTTGAAATGCAAAAACACATGCTTTCTTAACACCCCTGTGAGACGCCACGGCCGTGCTGAACAGCAGCTGGCGGCACCCAGACTGTCTAGGCCCGTGGTCGGCAAACTCATCCGTCAACAGAGCCCAACAGCAACCACGCAGCGATTGAAGTTTCTTTGGAGAGCCGCGTGTTTTAAACTTGAACTTCTTCTAACCCACTTCCTCAGCACAGACTCGCCCAGGCCCCGGAAGAGCCACCCTCAAGGTGCTCGCATGTGGCTCGCGAGCCGCAGTTTGCCGACTGCAGGGCTGGAGGAAAGCAAGCGGTCAGCACAGAGCAACACGGCCCTGGCACACAGGCCAGGCGGTCCCCACGGGCGGACGCTGGCCTCCCGCACACGCTGCGTCCCACGGCCCGCACCCCCCCACCTGCGGGCCACGATGGCCCTGGACCCGGGGCGGGTGAGGAGGTGGCAGAGTCGTTATTCCTGCGGCCCACGGCCTTTGCCAGAGGGAGCGGCGCGGGGGAGCACCCGGGACAACGGCTGTGACAACGCAGCTCCAACGTCAGCCACGGAGGACGAGGCCTCGTCACTGTCCCCTGTGGGAGGGCAGGGGCGGGAGGGCTGCCCCCCTAGAGAGGGAGCCGCCCCGTCCTGCTCGGACCCACTAGCTGTCTGCGGGCTGGTCACCTGACCTCGCTGCCGGAGAACGGGCATGGCCCAGCGCCCAGGGCGTCCACGACCCCACGTGGAGCCGGGACTCAGGGCAGGCAGCTGCGTGGCCTGTGTGGCAGCCACAGCACGCAGGGCCTCTCACTTCAAATTAATCCCAGGAAAGAAGAAAAAACTCAGCCACCGGCCGCACCGCACGGCCACTCCGCAGTCGGCGGTGGCCACAGGGCCGAGAGGCTCCCCACACGCTGTCCCCATGGGAACTCACTGGACGGAGCGCCAGAGGGTCCCACAGACCCTCCCTGGTTCAGGCAGGAGCAGTTTCCCCGCTCGGCTGACGGCTGCGTGCACGAGGGGGAGTGTAGGAGCGAGGTGGGAGCTGAGAGCGTGGGTGCAGGGAGGCGTGTGGGAGCACCCGTCACAGGGGACATGGGTGCAGGGGGCAGGGGGACACCCATCACAGGGGACACGGGTGCAGGGGGCGGGGGGGACACCCGTCACAGGGGACACGGGTACGGGGGGCGGGGGGACACCCATCACAGGGGACAAGGGTGTGGGGGGCGGGGGGGACACCCTTCACAGGGGACACGGGTGCAGGGGGTGGGGGGACACCCATCACAGGGGACACGGGTGCGGGGGACAGAGGGGGACACAGGGGTACCCGTCACAGGGGACACGGGTGCAGGGGTTAGGAGGACACCGTCACAGGGGACATGGGTGCAGGGGGCGGAGGGGGACACAGGGGCACCTGTCACAGGGAACACGAGTGCAGGGGGCGGGGGGACACCCGTCACAGGGGACACGGGTGCGGGGGACACAGGGGCACCCGTCACAGGGGACACGGGTGAGAGGGACACAGGGGCACCCGTCACAGGGGACACGGGTGCGGGGGACACAGGGAACATGGGTGCGGGGGGCGGGGGGCACCCACTCACCTGGGAGCACAGCTCCAGGATGGCGTCCTCCAGCATCTTCCCGGCTCGCTCCCCAGAGAAGTAGCCGCCTGTAAGCACCGGCTGGTTACGGGGCTGAGCCCAGGCCACAGCCCGCCCCTTCGCCCCCCGCACCCCCAAGAGGCTCCCTCCTGCGGCTTTTCAGGTCAACCCTCTGGGAAGGCGTGTCACCCCCCCATCCCCCCCTGCCAGCCGAGGGCCGACCCCTTGGCGGACGCGCCCGGCAAGAGCGAGAGGCGGGCAGAGCGGGCCTGGGCGGCGGCCTGCGGGTGCCGGGGCGAGGTGCTCCCCGAGGCAGAGATTCGGGGGAGAGGGAGGTGCTTGGCGCTGGGCCAGCAGCCGGGGCTGGGGGCTGCCGGGCGCGTGCAGAGCAGTGATCCGGGCGCGGAGCCCTCTGGGAGGGGAGCCGCCCCAGCTCCTCAGCCTCGGCCCCGGCGGGCGGGCGGGCGGGCGGCTGCGGGGCAGGCAGGAGGCGGCTGCGCAGGGACGGCCGGCTGCAGCGCCTGCTGCGTGCTTTCTGCCGTGGAACCGGCGGCGCTGGCACGGGCGTCCTCAGCGGCCTCACCTCGGTACAGCAGGGCGGAGTGCTGGCTCAGGGACCACAGGCCGTAGAGCGCACTGAGCTGCCGGAGCACAGCCCGCAGCGGGGGCGGCACGCCGGGCTGGCGCGTGTGCTGGTGGAACCGGCGCAGTACCGTGAGCTCCAGGAAGGCCAGCGCCAGCGGGCGGCAGCAGTAAGCCTGCGGGCAGAGGCCCCGCGCTGGTGAGCCGCTGGGACCCCTCAGTGACCCGGTGACCCCGGCTGGGACCCCCAGTGACCCCGGCTGGGACCCCTCGGTGACCCCAGTGACCCCGGCTGGGACCCCTCAGTGACCTGGTGACCCCCAACGACCCAGGCCGGGACCCCTCAGTGACCCTAATGGCTCTGGCCGGGACCCCTCGGTGACCCCGATGACCCCAGCCGGGACCCCTCGGTGACCCCAGCTGGGACCCCCGGTGACCCCGGCTGGGACCTCCCGGGCCTGCCGGCCATGTCACAGCGACCACCCTGGAGCTGGTTAGGAGAGGCCGTGCCCACGGCGAGGCCGCAGTCAGAGCGCGGCTCCTGCTGCGGCTCCCAGGACGCGAGGACCCGACAGGCTGCTCAGTGTGAGCCCTGACCGTGGCCCCGGGGCCTGGGGAGGAGACAAGGACTGAGCCTCGGTGAGCCTCACCGATCCCCCTGCCGCTCCGCTGGGCGGGACCGCCTGTGCCCGGCCCCTCTGGTTACTGCCGGGCCCCCTCCAGTAACCCCGCTCCGGCCATGGGGCGGGCACCAGCGGGCACTTTAAACACGGTGCCCAGTGTCTTCCGCAGCCCCGCAGGGGGCTCCACCCCCGCAGACTGCCGGCCGGAGTGCTGGCCCCTCGGGGCCCGGCAGCACGGGCATCGGGGGAATAAGACACACACACCTGGGAGTTATTTCTCGCGTCGAAGTCACTGCTCCCGGCTCTCTTCTCCCGAGCCAGCTGCTGGCGGCTCTCCCGCAGCAGGTAGCAGACCAGCCACTCGTACGCCGCCAGCGGGACTGGGAGGGAACAGGGACGTGACCACCAGCTCCCAGCGGGCCCGGTGCTCGCAAACCCGAGCTCCCAGCAGGGGGAGCACCTGCGCGTATTGATGGGCGGGTGAGGTGGTGGCGGGACAGGCCCGGGGAGGGCGCTTCCTGCTGCGGAGCCACCCCCTGGCCCCCTCTCCTGGCAGCCCCCTCTGTGTGACCCTCCGTGGGGCCACACGCCGGCCGGCCGGGGCTCAGTGCCCTCGGCGTCCCCGGGCACGGGCCTGGGCATCAGGACGACTCTCCGGCACAGGGTGGGCTGGGCTGACCTGCCTCCCGGGGGTTCCTACCGACCAGGAACGTCCCGGAGCCCGGGGCCCTCAGAGCACCTGTCCTCGAAACGCCCCCCCTCCGAGGAGGACCCGGCAGGAGGTGCCCCGCACGCCCGGGTCTTTGCAAATAGCTGAGGGTCTCGTCTTGAATTGGGTGGGCCCAGCGCCCACTCCAAGGGAGCCAGAGGCACAGGGCCAGGTGCCCGGCCTGGCACACCGTGGGGCCCGTGCACACGGTTGTCGGAGCTGCAAACACTCAGAGCTGCAACTGCTTAACGCTTTTGCAAAGAGCCACGCACAGTGGCCTGGCATCGCTCAGCGGGCACAGGGCCGGGGCGGGCCCTGTGGGAAGCCCATCCCCCGCACACGCGTGTGCGTGCTCAGGGCCCGGACGAACCCGCCCCTTCCTCCCCATAACGTCAGAGCCCGGGGGAAGCTCCTGCCCCGCCCGCTCGGCCGATGCTGCAGAGGCCCGGCCGGCCCTCCGGCTCCGGCTCCGCTCGTAAATCTCCAGCGGCTCCCGGGGCCAGCTGGGGCGAAGGCGGGGCTGTGGCCGATGACCGAATGCCCCGGGGACGGGGCTGGCCGGGCGCTCCCCTCTCTGGGCTCAGGGAGGAGGCTGGGGCGGTGCCAAGTCGCTCTGGCCACGGGAACTGCAGTTGTGTTTTTTTCCTCCAGAAAATGTGTCGTTGGATCTCGCAAAAACTGGGGCACTCGGAGGAAAACAGATGACGCTGCCCTGGCGCCCGTGCGAGGCCGGTCCCTGCGCCCGGGGTCAGAGGGACGGCCCGAGGGGGGGTGCGTGCGGGCATGGCAGGCACACAGAGGCCGGTCACTGCGCCCGGGGTCAGAGGGGTGGTGCGACGGGGGTTGTGCGGGCATGGCGAGCACACGGAGGCCGGTCACTGCCCCCGGGGTCAGAGGGACGGCGTGAGGGGGGGTGCGTGTGGGCGCAGTGGGCACACGGAGGCCGGTCCCTGCGCCCGGACTCAGAGGGACGGCGCGAGGGGGGGGGTGTGCGGCACGGCGGGCATAGGAGGCCGGCCCGGGACCAGGGCGCCCAGGGGACATGCATACTGGGGCCCCCACAGCAGAGGCTCTAGGATCTGCGGACGGTGGCTCGGGCACCTGGACAGGGAGGCTGGGCGTTGGAGACAGCCGCCTGTGCATTAGCGCCTTGTCCTCGGGAAAGCCCGACGGGCGGCAACCGCTGTTCCCTGGGCGCAGGGGCACTGAGGCAGGAAGGGGAGGGGCGGGACGGGCCCGAGGCCCCATGGCTGGTGCCCATGCCGGCTCAGCATGGGCGCAGGGAGACGCTGGGAGACAAGGAGGCACACTGACACCCGGGCCCTCCTGGCACAGCCGCCCGCCGGCAGCCTGGTGCAGACGGGGGCGGGGGCTTACCCGCAGAATCCAGGCAGTCCTGCAGGCTGGCCGCCGCGAACCGCCGGCCGAGCAGGGCGGGGTAGGCCGCCAGGAAGTCCACGCTCTTCAGCGGGCTCTCGAAGCGGGCGCCACCTAGGAGCACTCGGTCACCGGGGTCGCCGGGGCCCCCTCCCTCCCTCACACACGGCCATCTGGGCGGAGCGCTCCCTCTGGGGGCCGAGAACCCACGCCCCTGTGAGGTCAGGGCCACCGGAGCTCTGTGGAGCCTCAGCTTGCTCCCCATTTCCCCCCAAGCCAGCAGCCCGAGCGGGTGCCCACCTGGGCCCCCCCTCACAGTCCAGCAGCCCAAGCAGGAGCTCACCTGGCTCCCCCCTCACGGTCCAGCAGCCCGAGGGGTGCTCACCTGGATCCCCCCCCTCACGGCCCAACAGCCCGAGCGGGTGCCCACCTGGATCCCCCCCCTCACGGCCCAACAGCCCGAGCGGGTGCCCACCTGGATCCCCCCCCTCACGGTCCAGCAGCCCGAGCGGGTGCCCACCTGGATCCGCCCCCTCACGGTCCAGCAGCGCGAGCAGGTAGTTGCTGGTCTGCTGCAGCAGCACGTTGTTGTCGCCCTCGTACGTGCTGTTGGGGTCGTTGTCGTTCCTGAGGTCGCCCAGGCGGTTCACTGCAAGGAGCCACAGGTCCCGTCACCTCGGTGCCCGCGGGGGAGAGGCCGTCGCCCTGGGAATGCCGTGCCCCCCAGGTGGGCCGGGGACGCGGCACCTGCTCCACGCCCCACCCCTCCTGGCCAGCCGGCCAGTCCGCTGGGACGGTGGCTCGGCCAGGACACACAGCGCCGGCCCGGGGGGGTGTTGGCGAGAGCCGGGCCGCCGTGAGCACGCGGCAGCAGGCAGGGCCGGTGGAGGGGAGAGCACAGAAAGGAGAGAGAACCTCTGGACGTGGGATCGCGGGCGGAGGGGGGGAGGGCACGGGGGACGGAAGGTGTGGGAAGAATTAAATTAAAGGGTCAGAGGCACGCCGTCCTCAGCGCCCGTCCTTGCAGGCCCTGGCAGCGTGGGGTCCTGAGTGAACCCTCGTCCACACGGGGAGCCCCCCCTCCGAAGGAAACTGTTTTCTTTTGTGGTCTCTCCTGCCAGTCAGTGACCCGGTTCTGCACGGCGTGCCCTCTGGGGAGAACGTTCTGGGACCCCGGCTGGGGGAGGGGCCGGCAGGGAAAGTGGACTCGGCTCCTGAGGGTCACGTGCTGCTGGGATGTGGCTAAGGTGACCAGACGTCCTGCAGTGTTTTAAAAGAGTCCCGATTTTTGGAAAATCGCCGCAGGACGCAGGACAAATTGTTAAAAATCGGGACCGTCCCGTCTGGTCACCTTAGACATGGCTCCCATCACACGGATGGATTGTTCCAGGCTCACGGCCCTGCCCGGACCGGACGCTGCAGGGAGGGCGGGAGGCCCTCGGGGAAGGAACCTGCAATCGCAGGGAAGCCTCTCGGGGCCACCCTCCCTGCGCCCGGCCCGGGGTGAGCCGCATCGGGCGTTTCTGTGGTCTGCGCTGCAGGACTCCATGTCCTCACTCTACACCAGCCCCAGCGTCTCCCTGAGCTACAACAGCAAAGACTAAGCATCTCGTGGGAGACGGAGCACGGAGGGGGCCCGTGTGGAGCCGTGGTGTCCAGCTCGCCTCGTGCAGAGAGGCGGAGCGTGGGGCGCAGGGCCAGGCCGGACAGGCCCCGCGGGAAGGTGACTGCCCACCGCCGTCCCGAGATGCCCCTGCGCAGCCGGAGCCCGGACGCCGCCAGAGGTGTGGGCGGCCGGGGCTCTGCCAAGCCTGATGCTCGGACGTGCACACAGCCTTCTCCGAGGGACGGTTCTCACCCGGCGGCGACTGGAGGTGGGGCCGCGGGGAGCTGGGGGCCGCTGCAGTGACAGTGACTGTCACCACGGTCATTCCCGTCACCACGGCCGGCAGAGGCTCCCGAGCACGGCCTGGACGCCGGCGTGGGCCGGACGGACGCTGTGCGTGTTAATTCCTGATCCGCGCAAGAACCTCCTTGGGGGGGGGGGGGGGCACCCATTTCACAGAGGGGAACGCTGAGGCTCCGCGGAGGCAGGGGCGAGGGCAGAGCCAGGACGGGGTCTCGCTCTTTTACCCACACGCCAGCTGCCCCGCCGCCAGCCGGGGCCACTGAGACTTCTTCCTGATGAAGTTTCTCATCGGAACAGCAGCTGATGTGGATGTACAGCCACGTCGTTAACCAGAGAGTCACGATGGAAGTGAAGAGGTGATCTCCTCCCCTCTCTGGTGTTTAGGGGCGCCCCCGGGTCCTCCACACCCCAGCACCCCGAGTTCCATGTTCCCAGGAATCCGGGCATCGGAACATGGGGAGCGTCCAGGGCAGGGGGGCGGCGAACGTGCGGGAAGGGCCGGACAGCGGCCTGCCGGCTCTGTCGGGACCACTGAGCCACAGCTGCCGTGGGAGCGGCCGTGGGACATGCAGAAGGCGTGGCCATAAAGCCGGCAGTGGCCGGTTTGGCCCGGGAGGCCCGGAGTGCTGACCCCTGGTCTGGAGCCGCGTGGGAGGGTCAGGACAGGACACGGTCACTCGCTTCTGCAGCACCTACCGGCCAGGTAGCCGTGTCCCCCGCACGCCTCGCGGCACTCTTGGATCCCCCGCTGGGCCGTCCACGAGGCCAGGGGCTTGCCGGCCGACGCCAGGGCGTGGATCTCCCGTCCCAGCTCGGCCTGGGGGACGAACCCGAAGGGAGCGGTGAGCAGAGGCTCTGACACCGGAGGGCGCTCAGGTCGGCCGGAGCGGCTAAGCCTCCAGTGTAATCCAACACACCCCTCCACAGGAGGCAGCACCCCACTTCCCGCTTGAACACCGGGGGATTCACCCCGGCTGGTGTGGCTCAATGGCTGAGCGTCCACCTATGGACCAGGCGGTCAGTGTTCGACTCCGCTCAGGACCCAGGCCCTGGTTTCAGGCTCCATCCCCGGTGGGGGGCGTGTAGGGGGCAGCCGATCCATGCTTCCCCCTCGTCACTGATGTTTCTCTCTCTCCCTCTCCCTTCCTCTCTGGCATCAATAGAAACATATATTTTTAAAAGCGAGTCCTCTCACCTGCCTGGCGCTCTGGTCGTCCCGATGGAGGCCCTGCTGGAGTGCCACCAGGTCCAGAAACAGCGACTTGGAGAAGTGGTCCAAGGCGTAGGCGGCCGCCAGGTACGGGAGCAGGCGCCACTGCTGCAGCGGGCAGACAGACGGGCGTGAGCCACCACCTCCGCTCACGCCGTGCCCCGGGGCGCTCCGAAGACGCCTGAGACTGGAGCTGAGGAAGTCAGCCCCACACCCCGGGGCTGCGAGGTCTCCCTGTCTCCCGTTTCCGAGATACTCGCCGGCTCTTCTCCCACCAAACCGCCCACACAGACACCGCCGTGCGTGTGCCGCCCACACGCCCGCCTCCCGCTGCCCACGGCGATGCCGGCACCGGGCCAGCCGCCGGGAGCCTGCCCCGCCGGCCTGTCGTGCCCAGAGCACACTGGCCCGTGGTGCCCGGTGCCCCGTGAGCCTAGGGGGCAGATGGGGACACCAAGGCTGTGAGAGCCAGAGGCCGAGGCGGGGAGCGGCGCAGTCAGGGCACAGGCAGGCCGCGTGGGCGGGGGGCCTGGGGAGGAGCCGGGTAGGGCCTGGGGACCGCCACCCCCGTGGTTGGTGCCCAATGTCATGTGCCCGACACTGTGCCACCTGCTTCTTCTGTACCAGCGTGTCTGATCCTTACACAACCCAGAATGGGGTCCTGCCAGTTCACAGGGGAGGACACGAGCGCAGAGGCCCAGGGCCTGGCTGAGGGCACTCAGCGTGGGCGTGGCCCTGGGCAAGAGCCCAGCACTGGCCCCGTGGGCTCCCCACCGCTGAGCCACCGATGCCCGGGCAGGCCGATGGGCGGCAACCTCCTGAGGCCGCAGGGTCAGCGGTGGTGGGGACGGGCCACGGCAGGGGGGGGAGGGGAGGGTTCAGGTGGTGGGGACGGGCCACGGCAGGGGGGGGAGGGGAGGGTTCAGGTGGTGGGGACGGGCCACGGCAGGGGGGGGAGGGGAGGGTTCAGGTGGTGGGGACGGGCCACGGCAGGGGGGGGAGGGGAGGGTTCAGGTGGTGGGGACGGGCCACGGCAGGAGGGGGGAGGGGAGGGTTCAGGTGGTGGGGATGGGCCACAGCAGGGGGGGGAGGGGTTCAGGTGGTGGGGACGGGCCACGGCAGGGGGGGGGGAGGGGTTCAGGTGGTGGGGACGGGCCACGGCAGGGGGGGGGAGGGGTTCAGGTGGTGGGGATGGGCCACGGCAGGGGGGGAGGGGAGGGTTCAGGTGGTGGGGACAGGCCACGGCAGGGGGGGGGAGGGGAGGGTTCAGGTGGTGGGGATGGGCCACAGCAGGGGGGGGGAAGGGGTTCAGGTGGTGGGGACGGGCCACGGCAGGAGGGGGGGAGGGGAGGGTTCAGGTGGTGGGGACAGGCTACGGCCGGGGGGGGGGGAGGGGAGGGTTCAGGTGGTGGGGACGGGCCACGGCAGGAGGGGGGAGGGGAGGGTTCAGGTGGTGGGGACGGGCCACGGCAGGAGGGGGGAGGGGAGGGTTCAGGTGGTGGGGACGGGCCACGGCAGGGGGGGGAGGGGAGGGTTCAGGTCGTGGGGACGGGCCACGGCAGAGGGGGGAGGGGAGGGTTCAGGTGGTGGGGACAGGCCACGGCAGGAGGGGGAGGGGAGGGTTCAGGTGGTGGGGACGGGCCACGGCAGGAGGGGGAGGGGAGGGGTTCAGGTGGTGGGGACGGGCTACGGCAGGAGGTAGGGGGAGGGGAGGGTTCAGGTGGTGGGGACGGGCCACGGCAGGAGGTAGGGGGAGGGTTCAGGTGGTGGGGACGGGCCACGGCAGGAGGGGGAGGGGAGGGTTCAGGTGGTGGGGACGGGCCACGGCAGGAGGGGGGCGGGGAGGGTTCAGGTGGTGGGGACGGGCCACGGCAGGAGGGGGGAGGGGAGGGTTCAGGTGGTGGGGACGGGCCACGGCAGGAGGGGGGAGGGGAGGGTTGAGGTGGTGGGGACGGGCAGGCATGCGTTTCTGACCCGCTGGAGGCAGGCTCGCAGCCACAGCGCAGGAAGCGCTAGGGGACCAGCTGGGAGTCACTCAACACGCTGCCCACGTGCGGCTCAGACCTCGCTGCAGCCTCCGGCAGGAGTCCCTGCCGGTCCTAAGGCTCACCCCCCACCCCCCACCCCCACCCGCCCCCGTGAACTGGGGCCTCCTCGCCTTGAAGCCCAGCAAGACCCCTGGCCAGTGCGGCTCTGTGGCTGGGGCGCTGCCGGAGCCCGGAGGGTCCTGGGTTCCACTCCAGGTCCAGGAGCCACCTGCCTCCCTCCCTGTGGCCGCCCACGGCTCTGGGCCTGCCCGACAGTTTGCTCGGCTCCCAGCAGCCCAAAGGCGGCTCCCGGGAGCAGAGCCTGTCTGTGGGCGCGAGAGGGGACGCAGTGACCCGGCTGGGGGGCCGACCTGCAGCTGGTATTCGAGCACCGGGATCTCCTCCCCGTCCGCCGGCCCGAACTGGCGCCGCGTGGCCGAGAACCGCAGGGCGATGCACACCGCCAGCTTCAGGTTGGCCACGGCCATGCCCACGATGCAGACGCGGCCGGCCGACAGCCCGCCCAGCGAGGCGCCGAAGCGCTGCCGGCTGTCCTGCGGGGAGAGCGGCGTCAGCACGGCCACCCTCGGGCGCAGGGACAGGCCCCCGCGGGCGCTCCTTCCTCCGCTCAGCGCGGGCGGCGCCCCCTCGGGCCCCGCCCAGGCACCCGCCAGACCCCCGGGCAGGCGGCCGGCGCAGGGAGCGGGGGGGGGGGGGGGGGGGGGGGGGGGGGGGGGGGCTGATGAACCCTCAGGGGGCGGGTGGGGGGGAGGCCCCGGGGTGCTCAGCTCCACAGGAGGGTCCCGGGGAGGGAGTCTGCAGGCGCCCAGGGAGTCTGCAGGGCGGGACCGTGTGGTGACTGAGCCCAGATGTGCAGGTGGGTGGCCCCGGACCGACAGTCCTCGGCTGGAGCCCACATTTCATTTGAAGAACACCTGCCTTTGGCCCCCAGAACCCCCAACCCCTCTCCCCCCGAGCGACCCCATGTTAAAGGGCGTGATGCTCATTCGTGTTCCTCTTAAAGCGACACAGTCAGTCGCCTTGTGGGCGCCCATGTTTCAGCTTCGCTTTCAGCTCCGAGTGCCAGCGCCGTGCCCTACAGAGCACAGGGCACCGAGCCCCAGACCCCAGGGAACACGCACCCCCGTTAGTGGACCAAGCCGCCTTCACCTCTGCACCCCATGTTAGGCGGGGCTCCCCAATCACCCCGAGGGCTGGCGGGGGCGGCGGGGAGGGGAGGCGGCGGGCACTGTCAGCCGGGGGTGGCTGACCCGAGCACCACCTTCCTTGCGGGTGGCACCGGAACCCAAACCTGCGAGGCCTGCCACCTGCCCCGGCGCCCGGGCCGACGCCGTACCTGGAAGCGGGTGACGTAGGTGCCCTCGGGGGTGACGTCCCCGGTGCGGTTGAGGAGGTCCTGGCGTGGGATCCGGACCTTGTGGAACATGGCGAAGCTGCGGGCAGGGAGTGGGTTACCACAGCCCCCCCCCCCCATGGCTGTGCCCGCCCCGCCGCGCCCCGTCTGCTCCCATCCTCCCCTCCACCCACCAGGGCCCTGCTGGTGCCCCCCACCTGCCCGCCTGCAGCAGCTGCCCTCACACCTGCCGGCCCCCAGCCTGTCCCGGGCGCACAGTAGCGGCCTTGCCTGAGACCTTCGACCCTACAACCTGAACCCCAAAAACGGTGTGAGGCCTTGGAGGGACCCCGCTACTGCGCCAAGGGCCCGGCCTCCTCCAGGCCTGCAGCAGTTTGTTTGCTTGTGACCCTCAAACCAGCCCACTCCCCTCCTTTCCAGGAAGCAACAGGACGCCTGCAGGCGGGCACTCAGCGGCCACCAGGCCCTGCAGGCGCCCAGGCCGGGGCCAGCCTCTGCGGGCGCCCCACCCTCACCCCGACGGGGAGCGGAGGGTCAGCGGCGGAACAGGCCCTGGGCAGGCCTCGGCGCCCCGGGGCCCTGTGGGTGAGCTTCGGCGCCAGGCCCTTGTGGGGTGCTCTGACTGGCCGAGGGGAGGCCCCAGACCCCGGGAGGCCTTTCGGGGGCCTCCAATCTGATAGGTGGTTTGCAAGGGCAGGCCCAGGGCCACCGAGTGCCACCTGTCACCAGAAGCCGAGGAGGGCCTTTGCAGTGACCGGCCGTGCCTGTTGTCGCCGGGGACACGGCCCCTCTCACCCCAGACGGGACGGCCTGAGTAAGTCTGCACGTGCACAAGGCTCTCGGTCCGCGGCTCACCGAGAGCACAAGCATCTCCCTCCACAAGGGCTGCGCCCGGAGCCTGCAGACCCAGTCCGTGCCCAGGGGGCACAGGGTGTGCGTGTGGCATGGAGTGGCCCGGGGAGGGGCGTGTGCCGGGAGCTTGCGGGTGGCAGGCCAGGCCCCCAGGCACCGCACACACCTGCCCGGGACCAAGCGCACGGCCCCTCCCGGGTCGCCCTGGGCTGCTGTCGAGGTGGCCACCGCGCCCAGGGCCCCGCGCCTCCACGCCCCGGTGAGGAGGTCTCTGCAGCTCAGGGTCGGAGCCGAACGCTCACGGCAGGGCCTTTGTTCGGCTTTTAGTACCCACACCAGTCACATTTGCCCTAATTTCCAGTCCTCCCACATCCTCGGGTGTTCCTGTGAAATGGCCAAGCCTGACCTATGTTTCCAAGATAAGGACCTCAGCCCAAACCCACATCCATCACTCGGTTCTAACGTGCTGGCTGCTGGCTGGGTTAGAGACTACGGCAGGCAAGCCTGGACACCAGCATTTCCTGTCCCTAGCACCCGAGCGCCCTCTGCTGGGCGTACGCTCCACAGCAGGAGGAGGACGCATGAGCCCTGGACCCCAGACAAGTCACTGACCCTTAAAGGCTGGGGCCGACGACCAAGATGACCACTCCCATGGACGCCCCCTGCTGGGCCTCCCCTCCCAGCCCTGGAGCCCACGCTACGCACCCCCAGCCCTCCACCTGGATCAGTGGGGACACCAGTGCATGCTGAGCTCCAGTCACCGACAGGACTGGTCTGGGGAGGCAGGCCACCACAGCGCGGGTGCACTTACCCATTGTCCAGGCCGTTCTGCCCGAGCTTCTCCCCTATGTCGCCCACCATCACGCCGGGCATGGGGAGGAGGGTCTTCGGGTCCCGAATCTGCACACACACAGAACACAGCACGCTGAGCACACAAACCCAGAACCAACGTGTCCAGCCCCGGAGTCCCAGGCGAGCCAGAGAGGACAGGACGCGAGAGGCGACGGGCAGAGACCTGGCCGGGCGGTCAGGACCTGTGCCGCGTGTCTGAGACGACACCCAGGTGGCCGCTGGGACGGGGAGGTCCTCCCCCCGTGACCCCGTCCTAGGGCTCCACAGCAGCTGGTCCTCGGGGGGCACGGTCCTTTCCCAGGGGACCCCCCCCCCCAGTGCTGTAGGATCTCAGCGGCATCCTTGTCTGCACAGGAACGCCGGCAGCCCTGCCCCCCGCGATGACCGCGTCCCCCACCCCAGCCCCCGCTGCCCACCTGCACGAGGAAGGGGTGCAGGCCGTGGCACTGGCCACCCGGCACGTACAGCTGAGCGAACACCACGGCGTGCGTCGCCGTCTTGCCCATGTTGCCGACCCAGAACTTGGCGGCTTCGAAATCGGGGGAGTGGATGACGAACTCCTGCGGAGGGAGAAGATTCCGGAAAGCGGTCCGCCGGGGGGCGGGCGCCCGTGCCTCCGGATCACTGTTTGAGCTTCGCGGCGAGAGTGAGGACCGCCCGGAGGTCTCAGCGCCCGGAGGGCAGCGTGGCCTCTTCGCTCGGGGCGGAGCGGACCCCGGGCCGGACGGGCTGATCGGCGCGTCGCCCTGTACACTAAAGCTTGTGGGTTCGGCCCTGACCGGTGTGGCTCAGTGGATAGAGCCTCGGCCTGCAGACTGAAGGGTCCCAGGTTCGATTCCGGTCAAGGGCATGTGCCTTGGTTGCGGGCACATCCCCAGTAGGGGGTGTGCAGGAGGCAGCTGATTGGTGTTTCTCTGTCAGTGATGTTTCTAACTCTCTATCCCTCTCCCTTCCTCTCTGTAAAAAATCAATTAAATATATTTTTTTTAAAGAAGAGGTTGTGGGTTTGATTCCCAGTCTGGGCCCAGAGTTGGGTTGGGGGTTTGATCCCCAGCGGGGGCGCATATGGGATGCAACTGACGGATATTTCTCTCCCACATCAGTGTTTCTCTCCCTTCCTTTCTCTCTAAAAAACAATAAAAACACCCTGGGGTGAGCACTAAAGCAAAAAAGGAAAGACAACTGTGTCCAACATGTCAAACAACTTCACCCACGCAAAACGGCGCAGCTGGCCGCCGGGTGGTGTCCCTGTCAGTGAGGCCCTGGCCACCCCGCCAGGTGTTACCGCCAGCCCGCCCTCTCCCGCGGGCCCCCCGCTGACGCCCAGCCATGAGCCCACCCAGGTCCGCTCGGGGACCGCGCGGAGGCGGGTCTCAGGGACTCACTGCGGTCGCCCCCACCGCACCACCTTTCACGCCCCTCAGCCCAGGGGCGGAGCGGGCGGAGCGCCTACCTCGGTGGCCGGGTCGTAGTGGGCGGTGGTCCGCACGGCCTTCGTGTTGCTGCCGTGGCTGAGCTCGGTCAGCGCAAAGCACCCGAAGATCTACGGGGTGGGCGGGCGGCACAACGTCAGGGGACCGGCTCCTCCGCAGCCCAGGAACCCTGAGACCACGAAGAAAGCCCCATCTCCTCTCCACCTAACCGACCAGTGACCTCACCCCCCCCCAGTGACCTCACACCCCCCCAGTGACCTCACACACCCCCAGTGACCTCACACCCCCCCGTGACCTCACCACTCCCCCCAGTGACCTCACACACCCCCAGTGACCTCACACCCCCCCGTGACCTCACCACTCCCCCAGTGACCTCACACTCCCCCAGTGACCTCACACCCCCCCCGTGACCTCACCACTCCCCCAGTGACCTCACACACCCCCAGTGACCTCACACCCCCCGTGACCTCACCACTCCCCCCAGTGACCTCACACACCCCCAGTGACCTCACACCCCCCCGTGACCTCACCACTCCCCCAGTGACCTCACACACCCCCAGTGACCTCACACCCCCCCGTGACCTCACCACTCCCCCCAGTGACCTCACCACTCCCCCCCAGTGACCTCACCACTCCCCCCGTGACCACACCACTCCCCCCCAGTGACCTCACCACTCCCCCCCAGTGACCACACCACTCCCCACCAGTGACCTCACTCTCCCCCAGTGACCTCACCACTCCCCCCCAGTGACCACACCACTCCCCCCCAGTGACACCACTCCCCCCCAGTGACCTCACCACTCCCCCCCAGTGACCTCACACCCCCCCAGTGACCACACCACTCCCCCCCAGTGACCACACCACTCCCCCCCAGTGACCACACCACTCCCCCCAGTGACCTCACCCCCCCGCAGTGACCTCACCCCCCCCAGTGACCACACCACTCCCCCCCAGTGACCTCACACCCCCCCAGTGACCTCACACACCCCCAGTGACCACACCACTCCCCCCCAGTAACCACACCACTCCCCCCAGTGACCTCACACCCCCCCAGCGACCACACCACTCCCCCCAGTGACCTCACACCCCCCCAGTGACCACACCACTCCCCCCCAGTGACCACACCACTCCCCCCAGTGACCTCACACCCCCCCAGTGACCTCACCCCCCCAGTGACCACACCACTCCCCCCCAGTAACCACACCACTCCCCCCAGTGACCTCACACCCCCCCAGCGACCTCACCACTTTCCCCCAGCGACCTCACACACACCCCAGTGACCTCATAAGCCCCTCCAGTGACCTCACACGCCCTCTGCTGTGCTGGCTGCCAGCCACCCAGACGTGCCCTCAGGGCCCGGCTCAGTCGCCCGGTGGCCAGAGCCGCGCCCGGGCAGCACAGAACACCGGGGCTTTGCTTTGATAAAAAGAAGCTCGTTCCAGCCAGTTTAGTTCAGTGGATGGAGCCTTGGCCCTCAGGGTTCGATTCTGGCCAAGAATGGGTGGCTGGGTTGCAGGCTTGATGAGGCGCATGCAGGAGGCAACCAATCGATGTTTCTCTCTCTGTCTCTCCCTATTCCTTCCACTCTCTCTGAAAATCAGTAAAAAACTATCCTCTGGCGAGGATTAACAAAAATAAACAAGAAAAAGCTAAATTCCTTCAGCACTGGGACAGACCCAGTCTGTCCAGGGTAGCATTAACTGCTGGCGAGAACAAGATCACTGTTCATTACGGTGCGAGTCCCCGCCCCCTGCCCCCGCAGCCTCCACAAACCTCAGAGGATAGGTGAGAGGTCATGGCTCACACCACCCCCAACTGACCTCCATGTTGAAGATCTTCGGAATGTATTTGAGATGCCTCTCAGAACCGGAGTTGAAAATCGCTGATCCAAACACCTGAAATGTAACATCGCCACCCACAGGTGGAAGCTGGTGAGTGCGCTCTCCTGGCCGGCCCACACCCACCTGGTCCAACAGCCCCGCAGCCCTGAGCGCCAACCACCGTCACACCAGCTCCCGGGGAGGCCTGGGCCCACCCGGGCCGTTTATGTAGGTTCAGCAGTCACCTGGACTCACACGCCTGCAGGACCCCGAGGGACTGGACGGACAGGGGCAGGACGGAGGGCGGGAGGAGGGTGCCAGAGGGCAAAGCGGGCCGCTTTCCCTCCAACAGCGGCGGGCGGACTCGTGACGCGCCAAGCGGTTTTGTTCATTATGTTTTCATGTTTCAGGTTGTTTGGTGGCGGCTGATTCCTGCTTGTTTGTTGTGTGTGTGTGTGCATGTCAGAGTGTGCATGTGTGTGCACATGTGTATGTAAGTGTATGTGTGCGTGTATGTGAGTGTGTGTGTATGTGTGTGAGTGTGCATGTGTGGATGTGTGCCTGTATGTGTGTGCGTGCGTGCGTGCGTGCGTGCGTGTGTATATGTGAAGCCAAAAAGGCCCATAGCTGCTCTTCCCCTGGGGCTGTGGTCGGCAAACTCATTAGCCCACAGAGCCAAGTATCAACAGCACAACAATTGACATTTCTTTGGAGAGCCACATCTTGTAAACGTAAACTTCTTCTAACGCCACTTCTTCAACATAGACTCGCCCAGGCCGTGGTGTTTTGTGGAAGAGCCACACTCAGGGGGCCAAAGAGCCGCATGTGGCTCGCGAGCCACGGTTTGCTGACCACGGCCCTGGGGCTTTGGCTACCGCGGCCTGGGCGTCTAAGGGCTCCGTGCCAGTCAGCGTAAAGGGGAACCTGGAGCTTCCCACTGAGCACGGACACCTGCCCGCTCCCCCTGCCACTGTCCCCACAGGCATCTTAGAATCTCTAAGTGAATCCCCCAACGCCTACATCTCAGGAAGCTTTAAACGCAAGTAAACCACCCCAGCCACCGGCGAGGTCTGCACCCCACACGCCGCAGCCCGTTCCTGCGACGCGTGTGTAGGTGCGCGTGTATGTGAGCGGCCCCCGGGCGGCGTGGCGGCCCGGCCTCCCCTCCCGCCTACTCACGAAGGTGTGCAGGAAGGCCTTGACGGCCAGGGACCAGTCGTACATGCCCAGGCCGGTGACCAGCGCCAGCAGCCGCAGGGGGCTCCGCAGCAGCACGTCCGCGCGCAGCATGTCCAGCTGCAAGAGGCGGCGGCAGCGCAGGAAGGTCAGCTCCCGCAGCCGCTCCACCGGGAGGCCCCGGCCCGGCCGCGCGAACACGGGGTCGCTCTCCAGGGCCGAGAAGATGGACTTCTGGAAGGGAGGGCACAGACAGCGGCGGTTGGGGGCCCCGGTGCCATCCCACGGGGTTCCCCCTTCGGCGGCTTGTCCTGAGGCCGCGGGACACACGGTCCGGCCCAGAAGCCCCGGACGGAGCGGACAGCCCTTCCCGGGGAGGGGAGAGCTCCACCGTCTGTGTCCATCCTGGCGCCTGGCCACGCCTGGAGGCTCCCCAACCAGGGGTCAGGCCTGGGCTGCACCCCGAGACAGCACCCCTCACGGAGGGACGTGAGGCCCAGCGAAGCCTTTTGGCTGTGAGGGCACAAAGCCCCACTTTTACCAATGACCAGGAACGCCACCAGATGCCCCGTGGTCAGCCCGGCCGCCGCCACACCCCCCCGTGGTCAGCCCGGCCACCGCTGCCCCCCGTGGTCAGCCCAGCCGCCGCCACACACCCCCGTGGTCAGCCTGGCCACCGCTGCCCCCCATGGTCAGCCCGGCCGCCGCCACACACCCCCGTGGTCAGCCTGGCCACTGCTGCCCTCCATGGTCAGCCTGGCCACCGCCGCCCCCCATGGTCAGCCCGGCCACCTCTGCCCCCCGTGGTCAGCCCGGCCACCCCCCTACACCCCCGTGGTCAGCCCAGCTACCCCCCACACCCCCGTGGTCAGCCCGGCCACCCCCCCACACCCCCGTGGTCATCCCAGCCACCCCCCCACACCCCCGTGGTCAGCCCGGCCACCTCCGCCCCCCATGGTCAGCCCGGCCACCCCCCCACACCCCCATGGTCAGCCCGCCCACCGCCACCCCCCGTGGTCAGCCCAGCACTGCCCTGGCCACAGCCTCACCTTCAGCCGCAGCATGTCCTCGCCTTCCCAGAACAGCGCCAGCTCCTTCCAGCTGAAGGAGGCGCGGGCGCGGTAGGCATCCAGGGGCCCCCTGGGGAGGTCGGGGAGCAGGGCCTCCCCGCCTCCTTCCTCATTGGGTGCCATCGCTCACCGCCGTCCTGCACAGGAATCAGCCTGGGTCGGGAGCCTGTCTCTGCTCACGCACCACGGGCAACCGTGTGCGCACCGCGGGACGGCCGAGAGCAGAACGCCGAGGGCCGCCGAGGAGAACGGCCACGCCGAGCGCGGATCTCCTGGGACAAAGGTGGCGGCGGGGGCAAAGGGCAGCCCTGGGGCTGGGCAGTGCCAAGGTCAACAGGCCGTGGTCCCCCTGCCAGAGGCTCCAAATCCACCCTCTCCTGGAGGCCCTTGAACTCGGCATGCCCAACGCTGGGCGCTTCTCGGCCCTGACCAGCCCGACCTGCAGGCTGATCCACAGCCAGCTGCCGTCCTGAACCCCCTCCTTCCGTGCCCCGTGCCCACACTCCCCTCCTAACGCCTCTGGAACCTTCCCCGCCTCTCCTCCACTGAATGGAGCACAGTGATCCCCGGTCACTGGGCAATCCCTGCCGCCAGCAGAAGCCCCAGCCGTGCGGCACCACCGGACAAACAGCTCCCGCTGCTGAGGGTGGAACAACCTGGCCCATTTCGCTCGGTAGTCAGAGCACCGGCTGGTGCCATGAAGGGGGTCCCGGGTTCGATTCCTGGTTGGGGGTCCCGGGTTCGATACCTCAGTTGCAGGTTCCCCAGCCCTGGTGGGGACCTGTGTGGGAGACAACCAATCCATGTGTCTCTGTTTCAATGTTTCTCTCTATCCCCCCCTCCCCGGTCCACTCTTTCTAGAAATAATTGTTAAATATATATATATATATATATATATATATATCCTTGGGTAGGGGTGGAAAAAGAGTGAAACCAGCTGTCCGAGGTCAGGCAGGTGTTACCAGGCTCATCCGACCCCAAGTCCCAGGGCCTTAAGCAATCAGTACGGCCTGGGTTCCCGAGTCACCGACATTCCTGCTATGCAGAGGAGTCCCCCACACGCCGGGCCTCAGAGCTCACCTGTTGGGTGAAGTCGCCGGTTCGGTCAGCAAGTCCTCACCTCTCGGTGCCTCGGTGGGGTGTGGGCACCCGGAGGTCTGCCCGGAGGTTAGAACTCCTGTAACTCCCTTCCCTCAGGCTGTCTCCTCAGGAGGCGGACTGGAGGCGCAGAAACAAATATTACTCTGGTTGACTTTAGCCCGAGGTGCAACTGTTACCCTGTACTTCCGCTGGCTTAGGGCAGAACCTGTCCCGCCAGCCAGCGGTCCCGCCAGCCAGCCTGGTTAGGCAAGGGCTCACTGTACTGTTAGTTGGTGTCTGGGCTGTTGCCATTGGCAGAGGGCACCTAGCACCGTTCCCAGCATGGAACTGGCCTCCATGGCCTCATCCTGCCGGCCTTCCTCTCTGCAGAGGAAGAAGTGACTCCAAAATGCAGATCTGATCCCTCCCCCTCTGGGTGACAGCTGCACCGTGACCTAGGGGACTAGTCCGAATTCTTCAAAATGTCCCGCGGGTTCACCCTCCTGTCGCCCCGCAATTCCGCGATGGCTGGGCGCGCACAGCAGCCCCCTCCCCTGCCCGAGTGCCCCCGGACCTTTGCACGTGCCGTCCTCACGCCCCCTTGCCCCCAGGCAGACGCGGACTCGACCTTCGGATCTCACCGATCACTCCGGTTCGCCGGCTCCGCGCAACGATCAGCGCCCACAGCCCGGGCTCCGTGCGCGTCCTTGGGGCTGGAGGCGGCAGAGGGAGTGCCCAGCGCGCAGCTCCCTGCAGCTGGGCTGTCCGGCCCTCGCTGCCTCGCGGCCACCGTCCAGCCCTGACGTCACCGCCGCGCCGCCCGCCCCCTTGTTGCCGAGGAAACGCGAACGCGTCGGAGCACTCAGCCTGGGAGGTGCGCGCGGAGCGGAACCTTCCCGGGGCCGCTCCCCTGGTCCCCGGACGCTGTGTGGAGTCAGGGTCTTTGCGGAAGGAGAGACAGAGAAACACAGGGAAGGCCCCGCGGCTCCGGAGGCGGAGGTCGGATATCTGTGGCTGCAAGCCCAGGAAAGCCAGTGACGATGGCGACACCCAGGAGCAGAGGCAGGAACCATAGAGCCGGGAGAGAATAACTCTCTGTTGTTATGGCAACTTATGGCAACCCTAGGAAACTCTGAGCATAAGTCAGCTGCCTGGTGGGAGACTGGCAGGGCCCGTTTCCATCGCTCATGGGTCTTAGGCTGAATTCCGGACATTTATCTCTTCTCTGATAAATCTCATGATTTGAGTTAGTTTTCACTTCTTTGCTTCCAATAAAGACCCAGTCGGGAAGGGCAAAATCCCAACCGAGGGACTAATGTTTCAAAGAGTGACGCATCTCTGATGTTTTTGTTGTCACTGGATTCCGCTGACGGCGCGGGTGATGCCCACAAACTGGCAGCGCCGCCCCCCCCCCACCCCGTTCCCCGCGGGGACACTGCCTGGAGACACCCCAGGGCCGTGCTGGGGTGCAGGAACGCACCCCCGTAACTCTCCCAGGAGGAAAGCCCCAGGTGGAAAACGGAGGGGGACGAGCTTCCGGGAGAGAGAAACCTTGAACACTGACAACCTGGGGTTCTTGACCTTGACCTCTCATCCACACGGAGTCAATCCGCTGCGGGACGCGGGGCTGATCCTGTGATTTCCTAAATGCAGCGCCTCCAGGACGCTGCAAGCTCAGCTCCGACCCCGCTTCTCGAGGACCAGCGCGCCCGGAGCGGACCCCGCGGCGTCAAGCCCAGGTTGGAGCCCGCAGTGGTTCCTGCCTGGGAATCCAAGCCGGGAGCGCGCGGGTCTGTCCTCGCCCCGCCCACTACGCGCCCCGGTGCCACGCTCCGATGACGTCATCACGCACACGCCGCGCCGCCTGCGTCATCGCCGCGCGCCGCTGCCGGGCTCGGGGCGCAGGCTGACATGGCGGAGGTGGGCCGGGCGGCGGTGCGCGACCCCGGCACACGGCTCCCGGGCGGCTTCTGGGCGGCGGTGGCCGTGTGGCTGGAGCGGCCGCAGGTGGCCAACAAGCGGCTGTGCGGCGTCCGCCTGGAGGCCCGGCGGCGCGCGGCCCGGCCCGGGACCCAGCCCCGCGGCCCCCGGCCCAGCGCTGACCCCGGGCGGGAGGAGTCGGCCGCGGCGGGATGCCGGTCGGAGGAGGGACCGGGACCCGGTCAGCGTTCCCCCGAGGGCGGCTCGAGCCCCAGGCCGGGCATAGGCCCCGAGGAGTCCCGGGGCTGGCACCAGGCAGCGGAGACCGAGAGGGAAGCGGCCGCGACAGCGCCTCTGCTCGCGGGGGCCCCCGAGCAGCCCGGGGAGGGCGACGGCCCCGCCCCGGACCTGGATGCTCTCTGGGACGATTTCTCCCGGAGCCTCGTGGGCGACCACCGGGCGATGCTGGCCTTCCTCGCAGGCCCAGGGGCAGGGCTGCGGGCAGAGGCTCCGCACGAGCTCGACGTGGTGCTCAGGACCGTCATCCCCAAGGGGAGCCGGCACTGCCCGCGCGCTGCGCCGCGGAGGGAGATGGTCGCGCAGGGTAAGCGTGTTTCCGATGGCGGAGGCGCCCAGGTACACCGGCCGACGCTCAGGGGGCCGGGACAGGCTTTCATCGGCGATGCATTCACAGCAGGAGACAGTCCGGATTGCTCCGACTCTCGGACTTGCGCCTGGGCGTGTTTGAGGGAGAGGAGGGGCGGGGTTGATGCATGTGAAACCCATCTGGGTTTGTTACCTTCCTAAAGCCCCCGCCCACGCACGTACACACACGCGCACACATACACGCGGGAGGCCGGCCCCGCCAGGTGTGGGCTGGCAGAGTGGGTTTGTTGGTCTGAGTTTCCTCAGGCAGGCACTGTAACGGGGCCCGGGGTCCTCCTAGGGATGCAACGCGAGCTAGCGTTTGTTCAGATGTTCGGGGGCCAGCGTGGGGCCAAGGAGAAGGGGCTCTGAGCCCCCTGCTGAGCTGGGTGAAGAGAATCGTTAGGTTGACAAACACTGGCTGAACCTCGCCCTGTGCTAGGGAGGCTGTAGGCTTATTACTGCCGTTTGAGGGGCGCATAGGAACGCGTGTCCTTAGCACAGAGGATGGGTGTTGACTGTGGTGCCTGGGGCCAGGCCGTGGACGTGGGCCCACAGGTGGGGAGGAGCAGCTAAAGCGATGCGGGTAAGGCCACTCCGGCACACCGGTCTCGGGGGGGCGCTCACCCTCGGGGTCTCTGGCATCCCTCCGCTCCCACCTCCAGATGGAGCCCCCCCCTATATCTCCCTCTCCTGCGTCGGTAACCTGAACCACACCTCCAAGGCTCCTCTTTGCCATGTAACCCGTGTGGTCACAGGTTCTGGGCATGAGGGTGCAGACACCTGCGGGCGGTGGTTCTGTCTGCACGCAGCAAATGCGGAGTGGCTGGTAGGTGTGTACCTCCCTCCCCCACCCCAACCCTGTGCCTCTGCGCCCCTAAGACTTCCAGGTGACCCCTCCTCCAGGAGGCCCTCCGCAGCCCTGCTGGCCCCGCCAGGATAGGAGGTCTTCCCGCTTTTATCAGCTGTGTTTGATCACCTTTTCCATCTCACCTCTGCATCCTCAGGTTGGCCTCACTGAGGAGAGGGCCCTGAGAAAGCAGACACCGTCTAAGAAGGGCTCCTTGTAGCTACAGGAGCCCAAATCAAAACACAAAAACAAACCAACAAAAACAGATGGCAGCCATTTATAGGAGTGACTGTGTTCTGACCAATCAGGACAGTGCCTTTTGGACCAATCATACTGTGAGATTTGGAGTCTTCATTTGCATGAGGAAAGACCAATCAGGGACCAGGGGTGGGAACTCGTGTTTATATAAACCAGCTCCCCTGGGGTAGGAAAGCCACTTTCCCCTTCCACGGAAGGTTTGTCCCCTTCCTGAGCAGAACCGGGCTACACAGGCTGCCTCACAGCTGGGCTGTATGTATCACTCCTGGGCTGTGGTGCACTGAACGTTTTCCTCCTCCATTGGACCTCAAAATGGGGGTTGCTGTGGTGAAGGGTGCCAAGAACCACCACCGTTGATTGCCATGGAGCT